TACCCCCTTCCTCCCTCACCTCCTTCCACTTACCCCTCCCTAGCCCCGCATCCTGATGTACAAAATAAAGGACACGTGTGTTCAAAAATAGAAATTCTCTTTATTGAACAAAACTCGTGGAGACTGGGAAAAGGAGATGGGAGAGTGGAAGAGAGAGGGTGGGAGAGGGGAGGGCAACTAAAATGATCAGGGGTTTGGAACATGTCCCATATGAAGTGAGGCTAAAGAGACTGGGACTTTTCAGCTTAGAAAAGAGGAGACTGAGGGGGGATATGATAGAGGTCTATAAAATCATGAGTGGTGTGGAGAGGGTGCATAAAGAAAAGTTCTTCATTAGTTCCCATAATAGAAGGAGTAGAGGACACCAAATGAAATGAATGGGTAGCAGGCTTCAAACTAATAACAGAAAGTTCTTCTTCACAAAGCAAATAGTCAACCTGTGGAACTCCTTGCTGCAGGAGGCTGTGAAGCTAGAACTATAACAGAGTTTAAAGAGAAGTTGATAAAGTCGTGGAGGTGGGGTCCATGGAGTGGTATAAGCCAGAGAGGTAGAAATGGTGTCTCTGGCCTCAGTTTGTGGAAGGCTGGAGATGGATGGCACAAGACAAATGGCTTGGTCATTGTCTTCGGTCCATCCCCTCCAGGGTACCTAGTGTTGGCCGCTGTCGGCAGACAGGCTACTGGGCTAGATGGACCTTTGGTATGACCCAGTACAGCCATTCTTATGTTCTTATGTTCTAAGCTCAGGGCTCAGGGTCGGGGGTCTCACTGGACTACCTTGATTTTCATGCAACCCTGTTCCTGGGTTTGCATGTGGCCTTTGGTGGCCAGGCTGGCAGCTATCCTGCCCTAGACAGCCGCTTTCCTGTGCCTAGTGCGGAAGTCGTGGACGTTGGAGGCCTCCCCCCAAACTTGGATGAGGGCCACGATCTCTGCACTAGTCCAGGCAGGCGTCCGCCTCTTGTGGCCCCGGGCCGGCTCCTGGGAGCCGCCAGCCTGGTCCCGGGAAGAGGCGGAGGGCTGGGTGGCAGCGGGTGGCTGGCTCGTGTTGTGCCAGGTGCAGTGTCTGCTGGCTGGGTGCTGGCAGGCTTGCCCCTGGCCCGGGCACCGTAGCCAGACCGTGCCCCTTTAAGGGTGCCGGGACTGGGAGGGGGGTAGACGAGTTTTCCTGGTTGTGCCCAGAGTGGCCACCAGGGCAAGCTGGGAAGGGCTAGCCTCCCACTAGTTCGAATTAAGTGGCTACACAGCCCTTAATTCGAACTACTTAATTCGAACTAGGCGTTAATCCTCGTAGAATGAGGTTTACCTAGTTCGAATTAAGCACTCCGCTAGTTTGAATTAAGTTCGAACTAACGGTTTGCCTGTGTAGTGCCTATGAAAGTTAATTCGAATTAACGGCTGTTAGTTCGAATTAACTTTGTAGTGTAGACATACCCTTTAGTCTATAAGGTGCCACAGGACTTCTCATTGTTCTTCCCTTTGTAGTGAAGACACTGGCTAAACCCATAGGCTGTGTCTACACTGGCGCAATCTTGCACAAATGCAGCTGCTCTTTCACAAAAACTTGCTGCCAGTCTACTCTGGCATTAGCCCTTTTGCACAACTGTTCGTGCGCAAGAGGCCAGTGTAGACAGGCAACGTGACTTTCTTGAGCAAGAAACCCCTATGGTTAAAATGGCCATCAGAGCTTTCTTGCACGAGAGCATCTACATTGACATGGATGCTCTTGCGCAAAAGCACATCTCTTGTACAAAAGCACATGCCAGTGTAGACGCTCTCTTGTGGAAGACTTTTTGCACAAGAACTCTTCCACAAAAGAGTTCTTGCGCAAGAAGCTGCCAGTGTAGATGTATAGAGTGCTGATAGTCCTCCCATCTGCCCCAGAATTCTTCCCAGGTGCCAGAAGTAGAGAGGTGTTCCCTGGAAAGAATCACCATCTGTTTGGCTTACTGTAGCACAAAGAACCATGAGGAAATACAGCAGTAGTGAGGATACAGTAATGTAGGTATGAATTTACAGATTGGCTGTCAGCACCTGG